TAGATGAAGTCATATCTGTTCCCCTCTGTTGAGGGAGGGCTGTTCAGTTTTGCTATAGATGGCCTCTTTGTCCCTTCTCTCAAACCAGTGGTCCTCTCTGTCCCAAATGTGGACTTTACCTCTTGAAAAAGCACCTTTGGGACAACCATGACCTGGATGACTGAGAATCCCCATAGACATGGGACTGTGAGCTCTTGTCCATCCTTAGGGATGAAAGCCAGCAGGCTGACTTTGGGCCCGTCACTTTCTCTCAACCCAACCCATTTCACCAGTGTTTTTGTTTGGGGAAATGGGAGGATGAAGGAGTATTAGGTATGTTCTCCATCTTGAGTTATCTATAGAAATCCCTTGCACTCCTGGAGGCTTCCTTTGGATGTGGCTGAATTAAGTAATTTTATTGACATCCTTTCCCTTGGAGGAAACTCAGGTGACTGCAATGACTGGAAGATAAAGAAAGGAGGCACCGCAGGCAGTTTCACGAAGGGGAAGAATTGCCAACAAGAATGCAAATTTCATTTCAAGGCATGGTTGAGAGATCTTCAGCTCAGACATGAATAAAGGCAGCTGACCTGAATAGACATCAGTGGCAAAAAAAGGGAATACTGTGAAACAAGACTTATTTCTTTTTTAAAAAAAAATGATATATACAGATGCATATGGGAAAAAACGTATTTAGATACATAATAAAAATATACCATTTCAGGGTCCTTTTCAAGTCTGCCATCTGGCTTCATTTGTATATTGTTGTGCACCACATACAGATAGTCTTTGACTTATGAACATTCATTTAATGACTGTTCTAAGTTATGGTGGCACTGAAAAAAAGACTTATGACTGATCCTCAAACTTACAATTGTTGCCGTATCTCTATGATCAATGATCAAAATTCAGGCAAATACACCTGGCTTGTTGTGTTTACATCAGTTGCAGAATTCTGGGGTCACATAATCACCATTTATGATCTTCTCAGGAGGCTTCCAACAAGCAAATTCAATGGGAAAAGTGAATTCACAATGTGATTCATTTAACCATCTTTTCTTTCAGATCTTTGGCCTGCCACACTTTATATTATTCTACTACTCATTGTCTATTGTGGGAAAATGGGAGGGGGGATTGTAAGGTGTGAGATGCTATGTAGCTATAACAAAATTCTTTCTAGAAAGACAAGGTCATCCTTTGTGATGGACTTGTGGGTGTGGGGGCAAGATCTTGAACTTTCAACTAGGTGGGGAAAACTGGGAAGCTTTCAGATTCGGGTTTCCCCAGATGTGCCAACATGGCTCTATTAATAAAATGGAATTTTGAGCAATACTTTGCCTCGGACTCTGATTTACTTTTGGATGCTATTTGGAACCCTGACAGTAAGGAAGATAGGATTTTGCAAATAGGGGTGGAGACTAATACACCCCCTCCCCACACGGAAGGGAAATGGGGGACATGTCCTGATGTTCCTGATAACCCCCAAGAAACGAAAGCATGATTCCCACGCTCTGAATTTTTCCCCCATCTATAAATCTTTGCAGCTGGCACCGAACAAGAAACGAATGTTATTCTCAATCAAACACGTTGTCTGCAAAATATCCTGACCTTTTGCAAGATTTCTGGAGAATATTAGATTGGGAAATGTTGG